TTTTATTAAAATAAATTAATTAAGTAGACAAACTAACAGACTAGGTATGCAGGTTCACTCATCAGTTCAGCATGAACGTGAGGTATAAACATAGAAGATAGCACCTCATGCTGTTTAGTGGAAAAGCTTTCAGGAAGCAGTTACAGATTGGAATCCAAGTTTGAAAATAATATGAAGAAATGTGAGGGTAATTCACTTTAAATTTCGAGAATTTCAGAAAAGCAAACATTCTTGATATTGTTATTATTCACACTCATGCAATTTAGAGTTAAAAGTAGCATGGCCAGGTGCAGTATGAGAGAGAAAGATGGGGGGAGGGGAGAGAGGGAAGCTTTAAAACCAAATAGTGTTAAATGAAATATTAAAAGGAAAATATTTCCATCTATCCAAGATATTTTTTTTTTTTTTTTAAGTCTGCAGCATTTGTTCATTTCCCCATAAGAATTACACATAAGCAGAAATGATCTCTGACACAGGATGTTGAAACATTACCTTGACAGGCCTTCAGTTTTCTCAGCCTTAAAACAGTTCAACAGTAAGACAATTTATAATTGATATATTCAGTGATTGCTGCTTTGTGATGAAGAAATAGTATAGGAGATAAAATTCCATATAGTTGATGCATCTTTGGAAGTGGAAGCTTTAGTATTCTGAAGGATTTTGTCTTGTGCTTCATGCGGGGAAGAGTTCTATGAGCTCTGGTAGTGACTTAAAAGTTAGGTAAAATTCTTGTTACTATCATTAATTGTGTATTTGAAATGACGGTCAGTGTAAGAGGACAGAGAAATTACTGCCTACATTTCTGATTTCCATTATGTGCTTTTTTCCTCTATTTTGTGGTTGCTGGTATTTGCAGTTTCAGATTTGTAGCCTGCTAACCCTATATATAGTTGTATATAAGTTATACTCAGTATTCATTTTCTGCTGTTTCAAACTATCAGGCTTTAAGAACTCCAGTCCATTAATTTCTTTTCTAGTTTCAATAGTACTCACTAAACCACGTCCCTCAACACAAAATCCAACTGTTCCTTGAACCCCTCCAGGATCGGTGACTCCACCACCACTTTTTCAGAAAATTAGTATTTCCTAACATCCAGCCTAAATCTCCCCTGGTGCAGCTTGAAGCCATTCCCTCTAGTTCTACCACCAGTTACACGAGAAAAGAAGCCGACCCCCAGCTCACTACAACCTCCCTTCAGGTAGTTATAGAGAGCAATAAGGTCTCCTCTGAGCCTCCTCTTCTCCAGACTGAACAATCCCAGCTCCTTCAGCCGCTCCTCATATGGCCTGTGCTCCAGACCCCTCACCAGTAGTGTCCCCTCACCAATATTGACCCCTCACCAGTAGTACAATAACAGGAGGAATAGTAGACATGGGAATTTCTCTGATCTGTGTTTTAAGATGGCTTTGAAGTCTCAAAAAGAAAAAAAGAAAAAAACAAAAAAATACAAGATGTCATTTTATGATGCACCTCAAACATCTCAAACCTATTAGTCGATACTCAGTGGAATTCTTATCTTTGTCATTTAACCAGAGTAGGTGTTTACTGGTCCCTTTTTTTTTTTTTTTTTTTTCCATGTTTGCTTTGAGGAAATGGAGAAAAGCGTGATATTTAAGCCTCTAGAATTTATTATCTCCTGACTTCCAGTGCTGTCTTGGTGATTGCATTATTTATCATTTGTTTCATTTAAAGTGGAAACAAAAAATTCATCATTTTGTTCAGCTTTACTTTCAATGTTTGATTTTACTTGTTGCTTTTTATACAGTACACTTTTCAGACCACAGTGTAATACATACAGCAATACATAATGGCTTTGTAGAGAGAAGCAATTGTAATAGAAAACAAGAAATAGTCACAGTAAAGTTGAGCAAATTGGAGAGCAAAACCACTGTACTGCTAGCACTGGTGGGCAGCTGTCTCTTTCTTTTCCTATTTCATTTCATTTGCTTACTTCAAAGGAAATAGTTTTTGCTGAAAACAGTTTTCTGCCTTGCTCAGCACAGTGGGATCAGCGGGGCCCCACAGGCCCCAGTCCCACGCACCACACAGTGTGACCACCAGCATAACAGAATCAGGTTACAGCATGAGTCAGCTGTATGTATTTTCAGTGATGAATGGTAGCCACAAAAGGGGCTGTAGTAATAATGAAATCAGCAGGTTGAGGGACTTGCTATTCCCCTCTGTATTTTGTTTGAGAGGTCACATCTGAAATGCCTGCATCTAAAATATTGTGTGCAGTTTGTGGTCTGCTCATGGACTAGAGATTTTTTTTTCAAACATGATTTTTACATGATTGCTTGTGTTAGCTGCATTAATTGTTCTTGTAAGAATTCATTTCATCAGTTACTTGGATAACTTTGTGCTACTGGGATAAGGAATTCACATTGCATACTTCTATGCATCTTTTGAAACTGAGTTATTATCTGGGGATCCTGTGGATTCAGTGGAGAACTGACTGCTTTTCTGCTGCTGTTAAGTGCTCTGGATTGTTCTGCCTTTTTGGAAGAATACTATCTAAAGAAAGCATTGTGAATAGCTTCCCTTTATGGCAGTAGGTAGTTTGTTTCCATGCTCCTCTTTGTATCAGTGCATAGACAAAGATAGATCTCCCATCTCAGACGATGTTGAAGAGATCATACCGTAAGTACTTCCATTACTGCACTGTTGGGATCTTTTTGAGAGCTTTAAAGGGAACTGTATTCTTAAGAGGCGATTATTCACCAGAAGACAATATAAGGATTTGTTTTGACCTTTTCTTTCTTTCCAAAGAGGTGAAACAGATCTGCTGAAATGAAAGTGACATAGAATTGTGCCATTGCTGTCAAGTCTTAGTAGATACCATGATAATTCCATCATGAAAGGAAGACAAGGGAATCAACTGTTATGGATTTAATCCTTCAGACAAAGGACATTGTTTTTGCTAGCTGCAAGCATACCACTTTATACTTTAACAATAAAGTATATCAACTGATGTATATATGTGTTTATTAGAATTTGGGGTCATGTTAATAATATATATGATGGGTATTTTATATTACCATTTTTAGCAAGTATGTAGTTTTCATTCTTCACGTTCATTGTCGGAACTCTATTATGACTGTTAGGTTAATAACTTTTTCAGCAAGTCATGAGTGAGTAACTGCTCGTTAACCACTCTGTCACTTAATGCTGAATGCTTATGTTGATGTTTATTATAAATTAAACAGTAGAGGACTTCACCTTAGATAAGAGAATCACAGGTTAAACAACCCCATAACTTAATAGTGTTCTTGATTCAAGTTTTGTTTACTTCTAGTTTAGTACCAAAAATAAAGCAGTATAGCACAGAAATATGAATACATCAACTGTGTAAATGCAGCAGATACTTAAGCACAACAGTGGCTATAAGTACAAGTTGGCAGATGAAATGCTGGAGAGCAGCCCTGCTGAAAGGGATGTTGGTCAACAGTAACCTGAACATGAGTCAACAGCATGCCCAGGTAGGCAGGAAGGCCAACCATATCCTGGGGTGCAGTGAGCATGACATTGTCAGCCGGGTGAGGGAAGGGATTGTCCTGCCCTACGCTGCACTGGTGTGTCCTCACCTTGTGTACCGTTTGCAGGCTTGGGTGCTACACTACAAGAAGAACATGAAACTCCTAGACAGTGTCCAAAGGATGGCTACAAAGATGGGGATGGAATGAGAGGAGAAGACATATGACAAGGGTCCGAAGTCCCTTGGTTTGTTTAGCCCAGAGCAAAGCAGGCTGATGGGAGGCCTCGTGGGGGCCTGCAGCTTCTCACAGGGAGCAGAGGGGTAGCGCTGAGCTCTGCTCTGTGTTGTGGACTGTGTGACAGTGATGGGACCTGATGGAACAGCATGGAGCTGTGTCAGGGGAGGGTCAGGTAGGGATTAGGGAGAGATTTTTCACCAGATGGTAGTGGGCAGGTTCCCTATGGTAGTGGTCACGGCCTTGAGCTACAGGAGATCAAGAACTGTCTGCAGACTGCTCTGATTTTGAGATGGTCTTGTGTCGAGCCCAGAATTGGTCTCGATGATCCTTACAGGTCCTTTCCAACTCAGGATATTCTGTGATTCTATAAAAGGATATAAGTGAAATCTAATTATCATGATGCCCATGGGCACTGAAGTCACCTGTGCAGCTTTCTGAAATTTAATTGATGAAACTATTTCATGTCATATATTTTGATGAACAGTGTGCTTCCATGCTACTACTTAATAAACTTATGTTCTTTCTGAAAGTTTTAATAGTCTTAGTATGTGAAAAGAAATGTATTCCACCAACACCCACATGTGTGGGATTTCAGAGATAGATGCATAGTATTGAATATACTGCAGATAGTAAGGAAGACATTGGCATCTGGACAACAAAGTTGCTGTAAATACGTAAAGTACGCATAAAAATTGAATAAAATGCAATTGGATCTTAGCGTATGTACATGCTGTTATGAGAAAGTTCCTTACATTCAAAAATGATTTAAAGAATTTTTTAAGTACAATTTTTAAATTTCTGCATCATAAAAGAATTTAAAGGAAATGTTGCTTAGATTTTTATATAGAAAATATAGCAATCATAGACATTAAAACTGGAGAAGGCAGTTTGCTGCAGCATATACACTGCTAGCAAATGAAACCAAAACACAATAAAGAAAAAAGGTATTTTGATTTCAATAATGATTATGTTTGTTCAAAAAGATCTAATGCATACTTATTGAACACAGTATCCTAAGTTCAGAAATAATAAATGTAGTCTGTATACTTAAGGGAAGTAAATAATCAGCACATATAGATGCTTGTACAGATAAAGTATTTATTGTATTTGTTGCTCCTGATACTGTCCATTATTATCCTTCTTTTTGCTGCCTTTCTTGTGATTTGTAAATGCAAACCTCAAGACTTTTCAGAAGTTGTTAAGATATTGTAGACACTGAGAAAATATTGGACAGTTTCAGAAAACTGACGTATCTTCCTTTACGGATGTATTTCTTCTTACTGCAGATCTAATGCATTTGAAGTGCTGGCACTCGATGGAGTTAGTACTGGGATACTTCAGTTTTATACAGCCCAGGAGAGTGCTGACTGGCTGAGAGCAATATCAACTAACATCAGTGATTTGACACTGCAAAATGTATGTTACTTTCTGCATATTTTCTTGTCTGTGATGTTGTAAAATTGTATCTAATTTTCCAAGGGCAGAAAACAATTCACACATAAGATACAACATATCAACATATAAAATGTGTTCTAATGGGAAGGAAAAGGACGAATTAAACACCAGAAAGTGGTTGTCTGATCAATCAGAAGTAGTAAGAAGTTTTCAAGACTTGCAGTGTTACATGAAAACAAATAACAGTAAAAAATTCAGATTTTAATTATTATTTTAAAGCCTTTTTAAGGAAAAATATTGATCCTTCCTAGTCATTTCACAGAGCTTTAGAAATGACCAAATAGTTTGTGTTTATATTTTTGTAATTAAAACATTCTTGAAATGAGTATTGATTTTTAAGTAGGCATGTGGAAATTCTAGCTAGTAGCTGGAATAGAGTAGTAGCTAGTGAAGTGTGACTTATAGTGGCTTACTGGGAGATGGTATTTTTACCTCTGTAAGTTGTCTAGTTGTTTTATTTAAAATCGTATTATTTCATCCTTCTCTGTAAAAGTGTAAGGGTGCTTATCCTGGTGTAAGTTAAGGCTGTAAATTTATATGTGGCATTTGCTGTTGCAAGCATAAGTATTAAATAATCCCTGGAGAAACAGAAAATCATTATTTGGACAGGACGTTATTATTCCAAGGAAAAACAACTGGAAACTATTGAAGATCCTGGAATGAATTAGAGAGTTAAACAGGCAACTCAAACATGTTCTATATTGAAAATATATTTCAGTCTTTCTGAAATGGTAGAAATCAATGATGAAAAAAGAAGTGTACGGTTCTCCCTGGAAGAATTGCCTGCACAGGTTTTAGTCTTTTTTTTTTTTTTTTTTTTTTTCTTTTAGATGTGTTCAGACTGTAATTTTCTTTATAAATCTTGATCTGATACAGTAGATATCTTTAGTTGGTACTTTTTATTCTACAGGAATTGTTGCTTAGTTCTTTAAATTATATTCTGTATAATTTTTATTGAGTTTCAACATAAATCTTTGGACAAAGAATAGATGAATAGATATAGATAGATAGATCAATATTTATATAGATATATATACAAGTAGAAGTTATTTTTTCTGGTCTTCAAAAGTTACTTGTAATCACATTTGACCAAAATAGTTCTTTTATTAAATTAATTATTTTTTAACGTTAAATTCCTGAGTCAATATATTTGACAAAATCAAATACAATTGCTTGTGATACGTTCTTTATAAATTATAGATATTGCTATTTGATAATTCTGAGAAAGCAATGTAAGTTATTTGGGAATATTTTTAGATCAATTCCAGACTTAGTTCCTAATCACATTTCTGTTTCTTTCACTTTCTAAAGTGAGAAAATGCCACTTTAAGGATATAGGTGAATAAGCCAGTAAAAAGCAGCTATAAATATAAGCAGATTTTATTATGGGCAGGGTCTGTTATTTTCCTAATGTGCTAGTAGAATGTGTCCTGACACAATATCTTAATGGTTTTGCAACCTGTCAGCAACAATATTCTTTTTTATACTGGGTATTTTTCTTGGTCCTCTCAATCACAGTAATGAATTCTGTCAACAAAGTAGTCCATCTAGTGTTCTTCTAAGTGGCTGTTCAGAGAAGAAAGCTGTTGTGTGGGTTTTTTTTAAATTTGAAAAATTCATGCATTCATTGTTCTCGGTAAGACAGAATAAAGTCTGTACAAATCACATTAGAAAAGAGTAAACTTCTTCAATTTAGTGCTTGACAGGCTCTGTCAGATGTGTAGGCTGTGCTGTGACTGGACTGGTCTGCATGTGGTGCTGTTTTAATTACTAATAATCAAAACGGGAGGTGTAGTAGCATAATAGTATCTATTTCATTTCAAAATACTTTTTTTAAGACCAAGAAGATGAGGTTGGAGTGCACCTTAAGTGTATAGCAAAATACAGCAAGAGACTGCTCCCTGCCTCTCTAAGGGGCAAGGGACACAGAGTGTTTGACACCCACAGCAAACAGGGCAAGGCCTTTGGACTAGTCTTCTTGAAAATCCATTCTGGATGCTTTTTATTACCTCACTGTTAACATTCCACAAAATGTTGTTGCTGTCGTTATCATTATTCAGAAATCTGAAGTTCCTCCTACCTTTTTTCTTCAGCACCTATCCTGTAGTCCCTGAAGAGAATTACTACTGGTTGAAAGACTTCACATTATCCTTTATCTACTTAAAGGTTAATTTATTTATTTTGCTGACACTGAATTCAATTTCTTTTCCAAATACTTAAAATATTGGGTTTTTTTATTGTCCCATGCCTTTATATCTTTACATAAATTATTTACTTGATACTCAATCACAATGGACCTTCTCACTGATATTGTTGGCATAAAGAACGCCAGTGTTCTTACCAGTTTCACTGCTAAGTATTTAAGCAATATTTTCCAGTCTTCTATTTTACTTCCGGCTCATTTTTAGATTTTCCTAATATTTATTTCTTGACTTGATCCAGTCTGCCTGCAGCTTAATCATTCTTAATTCAGTTATGGCTACTAATGCTACTCTTTTATGTACAACCTTTGTCATGTACTTCTGCACCATTTGGAATAATTTCATTTTGAGTTTTAGTTCTTAAATTGCTTGTGATGCCAGGCACCCTCTCCTTCATGCCACCCTTTTCTCAATATTCTTTATTTTGCCACTTTGCCACTTAGCAGTTTTGTTCAGCAACAGGCAGCTCTGTCAGATCTCCTGGTTATGCCAGAAGACAACCTTATTGTAGGCAGTATAAAAATAACTACCGCAACGTGACACTTCTGCTAATGTCAGACTACTCTTTTGAAGTACTGAAACATCTAACTTCTTTGCAAAGGCAAGCTCTCTGGGGATAAAATAGAAAGGAGAAATTGTCTTTCAGTAGTGAAGATGTGGAGAGTCATTGCTGCATAAGGTTGCTACCCCAGGATGCTAGTGTAGGAAGAGTTGATCAGTAGATGAGAAATAATGATTCTGGTACTAAGATAGATAGTTCTTATAAAACACAGAAGCATGGGGAATGTTACAACACAGTGAAAGAGGTAAGGGTGTCTTTCCAGCCCTGCTTACTGATCGATGCCTTGTACTTTTAGCTAGGGGAATCTCCTGATAACAGTAATACAAGCAGTGGATTGTTTTTTTGCTGAGAACCCTTGCCCCAAATTATTCACCAGTCTGTTCATATTCTTGTATTTCACATGCTGTTCCACCCACATGAATCTTCCCCCATCATTTTCATTTGTGTTTCAATCCCCCAAATTCTCAATATTCTCCAAGCTTTCTACATTTACCTTTGGTGAATCAGAACCTCGTATTTATTTCTTCATGCACCTGTTTTCTCACAGGAGGAGATACAGTTGAAGAAACTGAAGGGAGATTGAAAACAGAAACTGTCAAATTCAAAAGCACAGGAGACAACTCAATCTGCATCTGCTTCTCACTCCTGTTCTTATTTGCTTAGTTAGAAGGTTCTTTGTAGGATGAAGAGGCAGGACTGTGCTCGGGATGATTTTTACATGAATTCTTTGGAATAACTTCTCCCTCTGCTTTGAACTATTCAGTTAGCCAGCTATTCAACAAATGAAGCTTTTCTCATGGATCTTTTTTTTTTTTTTCAAACATAGTACTAAACATTACTGTGGTAATGACAGGCAGAAACACCTAAAAAAAAGAAACACCTTTTCCAAAAAAGTCAGGTGCTGGAATGGGCTGCCTGGGGAGGTGGTAGAGTCACCAACCCTGGAGGTGTTCAAGAACGTTTAGATGTTGTGTGGAGGAGCATGGTTTAGCAGGAAATATTGGTGATAGGTGGACAGTTGGACTGGATGGTCTTGTAGGTCTTTTCCAACCTTGGTGATTCTATGATTCTAAATGTAATGCTGACAGTTCATTTGCATTACAAAGACTTATTATATTTATTACTTTCCCAAGTTTTTTTCTATTTTTTCAGCATATTTTAAAGCTGTTATTTTTCAGTACATTAATCACAAATAGATGAGTAATTTACAAGCAGTTAAGAGAATAAGTTAAGACACAGTTGTTCCACTGTAAGCAGTATTTATGGTTTTTGTAAATAATTCCAGCAGCTTCACTGAAGGATGGTAGAAATTTAAAATTTGGTTTGTAAACAGGGATATTTGCCTCTGACAGCTGTTTTAATGCATTTGTTGTAGTACTTAAACACTTTCTGCTATGCCTAAATGTACAGGTATATGTAAGTGATACACCCTATCACAGTACAGAGAAATTTCTGACTTAAGAACTATGAGTTTTGAACTTACATATAAAAAGAAAGAGGGAAGATGGCTTCCTTTCATTAAACAGCTATGTGTGTAATAGATACAGATGGAAATAAAATCCTTGAATATCTATAATATACAGGAAGCAACATAAAAATTGGACCGTCTCAGTAGTACTACAAACAATCTTACTGTCGGGATGCAAATGTGATACTTCTTTGCTGCTGCTGCCTTTTTTTTTTTTTTAATTTTAAACTCAGAAAATCACGTTTGAAAGTACTACTTATCAAACCATTGACATTATAAAGGGAAATCAATAAGGATAGGAATTTCATCACCTAAATTTAGCCAAACAATAAGCAGTTGCATACAACTCTCTTAGAGCCAGAAAAGAAGAAATAGGTACCTGTCAAGATCTTTCTCTCTGCTGACTAGAAAGATAGTATAGGTATATCAGATGTAAAATTATTATTATTTTGAACATTGTCAGTAGTGAAATAAATCCCCACCTGGGAGATATTTAGATGTAGGTATATAGTTCTGAGTGATTTCATCCCCATTCTGTTCCTGCCCTGTATGTATTTATTTAAAACAGTGTAGTAATTACAGTTGCTTAGTGTTTCCAAGTTGCCTGCTGTCTTTGTAGATCCAAGGTTTTGGTTTTAGCCTCTCCTGATGTTTCCAGTTATTACACTGTGCTGAAAACTCATGCAGTCCCTGCAAGGTGTTGCCTATTCCATTTGTATTCCTGTCTCACTGCACCAGCTGTGCAGGGATATAGAGAGCACCTGCTGCCTTGCAAAGTGCATACTCTTCTCTCCTTCTGATGTAACGTGATGCAGAAGGAAATCTTTCTGCTTCCCTCAGTTACATCAGGGCTGCAGCCATCCCTTCTTTGAGTAGGGAATGAGCTAAGGCTGTGCAGTGAAATAGGAAGCATTCCTTCCTATACCAGGAGGAATCTGGATTAGTGATGAGAATGCTCTTTGTAGTATTCTTCCTTCACTCACCAGAAGAACTGCATGACCTGTCTCATACTTAGGTTGCCAGGCTCATTGGAACATAGTAAAATAAAAAGCGAAGTAGCAAAATTCTTCCTGTTACATTGAGTGCTGAAGTAATTTGACTGAACCATAGAGGAGAGTGAAGGAGATAGGATCTCTACTAGTTCTGATTATCTGCATTGGTTTATATTATTGTAATATTTATTTTGTCTTTGGTTACTTACAGGGAAATAATATTTTCAGTGTGTGTAGCTTGGCTCTGTGTAGTTACTTTGTGCATGTGTTTGTTTCTGAAGCACTGGAGATAGACTGTAGCTGAATTTGAGCATTGTTTTATGGTATTCTTACTGATGTTACAGTGTTCCAGGTGTCTTTTCCTTATGTCCTGTACAAATGCTCACATTACAGAGTGTGGATCTTGAGTTCTCACTGTTTTGATACTGTTGGAGCCCTGAGAGCATCAAGAAGCTCTGCTGCCTTTTCCTCTCCTCAGGGCTCCAGGTCACCTGTAGCCCAGTGGTGCAGGACCATGGCTTGAGCTGCTGTGGGCAGAGCTGTGTGTGAGAGCTGTGAGGAGCCGTGCTAGAGGCCCCACTTCAGTCCTCTCCCTTTGTCCTTGTCTTTGCTATGATGCACATGAACTGCAGGCAGTTCCCTATGTCGTGTTGTGGTTGTTCCCATTCTTCCTTTGGGATGGTGGGAAGGTGCAGCAGAGCATGGTGGGGCCCCTCTGGGAGTCTTATCAGCTCTCCCACTGGCACAGGGTGACAACCAGGCGTGACAGCTGCCCCAGGGTCCCAGCAGGTCAGCCTTGGCCAACTCAACCCCTGAGCTGCAGTTAACCCCACATGTCTGTTCTCATCAGCACACCCATTCTGTTTGACCACACAATTCAATGTAAATAGGCTGAAAAATATTCAGGGAGAAGGAGCCCTGATGGCCCATGATGGATTAGGGCTGACCAATTACTTCATCTAGTCAAGGGCCTTGGTTTTAGTCTGTGTCTGTACAGTGGAGGCTTCTGCTGTCATCCTGTACTCCTCTTCTACTTCACATTTTGTTCTAGGGGCATTTTGTTTGCAGTCATAGATAACTCACTCTGTGCAAAATGACTGCTTGCTATCACCATCTATTAGTTACATGTGCATATGTACATATATATCATTACATCCCACAACGGTACTTCGTGAAAACCAAATAAGCAACAGTCTCATGGTTATTATATTGATATTTTATGGATAAATAAGTTGAACAGCTTCAGAGATTCCACAAGAATTCCAGCAAACCCAGGCACATCCTGAAACTTCTGTAATTAGTTGTAACACAAAGCCTGTTGGCTGCTTCCATGCAAATGTTCAGGACGTGGATTGGATGGAATTAACTTTCTTCATTGCAGCCCTCATGGTGCAGTGGTTTGCATTTGTGGCTAAATCTGTGTTGATATCACTGTTTTGGCTGGTGCTAGTCAGTGCTTGTAGGGCATCAAGGCTTTATCTTTTTCTCATTCTCAACCACCCTCAGTAAGGAGTGGGCAAGAAGCTGCAAAGGGTCATAGCTGGAAGAGCTATCTTAAACTGATGTAGGAGATATTCCATACCATCGGTGTTGTGCTCAGCAATAAGTATGGGTTAGTGGAAAAAGATGGGTGTTTTTCTTCCACAACTGTGGGGAGTCTGATTGGACATCTGGTTGCTTGTAGCAGACACTGAGAGATTGCCTTTGGATCATTTTTTTTTCTGTTTTTTCTTTCCTTATTAAACTGTCTTTATCTTCACCCTCAAGTCTTATTGCTTTTCCTATTTTTAACCTGTTCCTGATGGAACAAGGAAGTAAGAAGGTTGAGAGCTACATGACTACAAACATGCTCTGCTCCGCAGATTTCATCTTACAAATCTACTATTGCCAGGATACAAGACAAGATTCTGGATTTCTTCTGCTCTTTTCCTGTAGCAATTGTAGCTTTTCCTATGCATAATTGTAGCTTTTGGTATTTATCATAAACCTTTCACCTTTTACAACATAGGCTTTGTGCCAACAAGGTCACTCCTCATCTGTGCAGCTCCTTGCAGTCTATATCCCTGCATGTAGAGGAATGTGTATTTCCACTAATTAAGTCTTCTTTTTAGATTCCATATTCTTAGTATAGTTGCTAATACTTCACTTAAGGGAGAGAATATCTGCCAGGGTTTGCCCACTACTCTCTGCAAATGGTATCTGCCAAAGAAAATCTAAAATCAGACTAACTCTAATCTGAACAGTAAACAAAAAGAAAGATAAGTAATTTATACTGAATGGTAAACTAAAAGGAAATTCTAGGCAATGTTTGCTTCATCTTTAATCATGTCTTACGCATTATGGCTGTAAGTAAGGTGTGTACAGTATAATATTTTTACACAGAGTGGAAAACTTAAATTCAAAAATGCATACCTTTATTGAGGATTTTATGGAAACTTTTGAGTCTTTTGTTTTATAATCTTAGCAATAATGTAGTATTTATGCATGGAATTTTTAAATTTCTTATTATTTGGAAGTGAATGCGTGTTTAGTAACTGTCTCAGTGCTAGTTGCATCACAGAAACACTCAGTTTATTAATAACTCTGTGTATTCTGCTTCTCTGTTCTATAGATGAAAATGGCAAATAAATGCTCTTCTCCCTCAGACCAGGTAAGACTTTCATTATGTTATCCACATTTTCTAATGATTGTTAAGTTGAAAAATTTGCAGTGCTTAAACACACACATTTAAGCCATTTGCAAATACTGAATGTTTTCCATGGTTTTAAGTTCTGAATTGCTGTACTTAGTACATAATGTATATACATGACAGAGGGGTACAGTGTAACTTACAACTGTACCTTGGAAAGCACAAGTGTGTTTGTGTGTAATATAGTACAGAGAGTCTGACAAGTTAAGAGCGTGTTTAAATCTCACATAGTGTACAGATAGCCAACAAGTTACAGATCGAATCTGCTTTGGACATGTCATATTGTGAAGATTGCGTATTTGCCATCATCCTTTGTCTGGGACTTCTGGAGGTCAGCTTGGTGAGCTATTTCTCCTGCTCCTGCTGGCCAAATGTCCTGAAGACTCAAATGAACTTAGGAAACTGGGAAGCCTTACTTCAGATATTTTTCTCTTACTGTGTAAAACATAATTTTAGCATTTTTTCAGGTTAATACTGTAAGTTTGGGAAACACTTTGAAGGTTTTCATTTTCATTCACATATAAAATTTCATTTTATATGTGCTTTCACAGCATCAGTCTGGCATTGAACCATTACTCAGGAAGAAAGAGCCCAATCCTTGCACTTTCTAAAAAATTCTGGTTTATGCATTAAAAACTGAAAATTATGCAAAGTGTTTTCTATATTTAACGTTTTACTAAAGTAATTTATTATAGAATTTTATTGCAGATATCCAAAACTGAGTCAAAAATGCTTCTTACTGGGAATAAATAAATAATTGTTTCTAGCGTGGCAGATCATATGTTATTTTATATGTCACTGATTTGTCATTTGTAAAACGTACTTGTAAATTTACATACTTTTCTAGAAGCTATTAGAAATATTTAACCATTGACATGTTCTTACACATGATGTTATTTTCTTATAGTTACGTCAGTATTGGAGAAAAAACGCACCTGAAAAAAAAAAATGCACTCTTTAATTCTGTGTATGGCAGAATTACCAGCAATTACCCCCAAACCAAAATAAATACTACATTGTATAAGGAAGAAGCATTCAATTGATCTCTTTGCCATGGTTTCTAATTATTAATCAAGTCCATGTGAAAAACTGTTGATTACAAAAGCTAAGGAAAAATGTATTGAATCTGAAATGATGTGTTCTTCCTTGTTTTTTTAGGAAATAGTGGGGACAGTTATACAACCTAACATTTGATTTCCTAAATTAGCGGGTTATTCTCCGTAAGCTGGCTCCATAGTCAGTGCAGGAAATTATCCCCTTCCAGAGTTATATATGAGGAACTTGGTACTGCTGCTTTAAATTATTCCTTATACGAAATTTTTTTTCTGTCTTTCCTTTCATCCTTGGAAGAATAATCTCTTAGCTTAGCATCTAAAGTAAGTGCCTAAAATTAAGTAACGCTTATCTCACTTTTTCTGTCCAGAATATGAGAATAACAAAACATAGATTCAGAACTTTAATGTCAGGCCATGAATGTTTAAGACAGGACAGACAGCAACAAACACTGGGTTATTCCCCTGTATGGAGAGTTACCCTAGCCTGTGTAGTGCGAGTTTGTCCACAAGTACAAGTATTTAACAGGTATACAGGTATTATAAAAATTTAAGTTATTTGGTAAGTAGCAAGGCTAAAGCTGTGGCTCCAACTGGCTATATAACCTGTGTAGATCTCAGAAGAAAGTGGGGCTGAGCAGGGTTGTGCCTTATTTTATTGAGTATGAAGGATGTTTACAGTCACCATTTTCCAAGTACTGTAACTTTTGATTCTGCCTGATGTAATTTATTAAAGTTCTCTAGAGTCTTGAAAGCACTTGATCCTGTGTTATCAGCAGGCTATTAGGATGGGGACTCAATTTTGTAAGAGACGCATTGCTGGATTGCTGTATGCCTTTTATGAAACAGTAAATTAGGTGATTCTCAGTACAGAAAAACTACTTCTAAGACTGTTTTTTTTAAATTGTGTTTGCTGTTTCTTTTTAATCTTTTTTAAAACTAATACAAGCATTTCTTGTCTTCAACTAAAACAATACAGTTTCTTCTTGATAGAAATAGCTAATATTTGATCTATATTTTCCTAGCATGATATAGTCTTATGATATAAAACAGATTTTCACTTTTTCCTGTGATGTCACTTGCCTTGTTTGTTTTGATTTTTGCAGATGAAGGAAAAGGTAAACTGTCTCTGTAAATGCATATATGCATTTCATTTTCTCTTTTGTAGTGATTATAAGGTTTTCAGTATTTATTGAAGTCAATAATTTAGAGCACTGGAAGAATCCAATATTTTCACCACAGAAATACTTCACCAGAACTATTCATTGGCCTTCACAATGAGAGTCAAGACCCGCAAAGGATGCAGTAGTGCATTAATTGATCTAACAGAAGTTTGGATCATTTTTCATTTTGATATTTCTAAAATGTCTTCAGTAAATAGAGACAGTTGCCTAAACCATGAGCTCACTCTTGACCTCTGGCAGAAATTATACAAAAAATGAAATCTGGAAACAACATATATGAAAGCATAGCATGTGACGAAGAATGACTAGAGGACATAGATTAAGATGCATCAGCAAGGGATAGATAGGTAACAAAACTTACGTGTTAGAAAAAATACCCTGTTAGAAAAAGACAAATGTTTGTCTTCTGTGCAGCATATCAGAAGTCAGCCTTCACTAAAAAGGTCAACTGCAACAGATGGTTACTGCGATTAGTATAAACAAAAATTATTAAATCTCAAGTTAGACTATGACGGAAATTTTTGATGATATTTATTATTTTGAGGCCTGGAGATATAAGAAAGGCTGGTCAAAATCTGTTTAAATTTTAATCTACCCATTGTTTCTTATTTTTTATGTTTTTTTCTCATTTGTCATCCTTCTTTGGGTATTTCAACTATAAACTGTGATGCCACCTACACTGTTAATAAGTTTGTACTCTTTTTTTAGTGTATTTTGACATTGTTCTCCCAAGTAGAATTACTAAAACATCTCACTCATCTATCTGACCTGTTAGTTTATCCCATTATTATTAGCCATGGGCTTGAGCAGCCAGGTGATTTTCCCCTTGTGCTGTCTGCAATGTCCAACAGTTTCCCAAGGTATTACCTTGTCAGTTTAATGTCAGGCCAGGGCTGGCAATCTTCCACAACCATGTCTCCATTGTGGCTTTGGAGAAAGAGGCAAGCATTCAAGGCTGTATGTACTAAATTACTTCAAAACAAGCAATTTTTTTTTATTATTTTATTTATTTATTTATTTTTGGTAGGGCCTTGGCAGATGTACTGCATGTGATGATATACTGTTTCAGAGAAACTACTGACCAGAGGTTATCCATGACCTATGTGGAAACACTGATTGAAATGGGGTTTTGATACTTAAAGAATAGAGTACAGAGATATAAATGAAATTTCAAGAATGTTAACTTAATGCTTAGTGAGAGCAAGTGCAAAAGGCAAGGAATTATGCCACACAAACTACATATTCTAGATCACGGTGGTTTTTCCCTGGTTTTGAACTTAAGAAATTTTAGTTTTTTTCTAATTAACCCAGACCAAAATAATTTGAATTTTAATATATAGTAAATGATTTTACATCTAAGAATAATTTGATAGGGTAAAAAAGTAGTGTGATATATTTACAGCAAGCAATTCATGTTAGACATAAGGAAGAAATTTTCTTATCATTCATAAAGCTAATAAAGCCCTAGAGAAATTATGCAATTACCTTTACTGGAGATCCTTAGATCAGTAAGGAAGCATCTTCTACACAAGAAAAAAAAAAAAAAAAAGGAAAAAGAAAAAGTATCATTGGCTTTGCATTTTGGAGAAGTAATGTACTGCATTTATCAGAATCCTTTTTTCCCCTCTTTTTTTGATACTATGTGGACTTAATTCTGAAAAAAGAGATTTTCAAATATGAAGAGTTATTCCATTATTCCTCCTTGTAGAACTGCTGTCCCAGGTATGCCATGAACATTTTCTCTTGGTTTCATGCTGCAAGTTAAAAGAAGCCCTACATATACTCTTGTAAGATCAATTAAAAGTGTACCATGTGCTCATAAAGTTAATCTGAACTGTTAGTCTGGAGAAGTTAGATTCTTACAGGCAATTCTGTAATTTGCAAATGTAGAAAGACAGCAGAACTAAATTCTTTCAAGCATAAAGTAACCACTTAAAGTAGAGTTGAGATGTTCCTTGGTGGCTGTTTTAATTTCTTTTGCATGGGAGGTCAGCTATGCAAGAGAATTCTAGTAAAATTCTCTTGATCTGCTTCAAAGATTTTTGTTGGACCTCTTCTCTTTCACTGAAAATACAACTTATTCTAATAGATAAGTACCACTTCAAAGCACTTGAACTTTTTAACCTATAGTCAGTTAGCTATTATGTAGTACCTCTGTGGGGTAAATAATTATTATACTTATTTTTGAGAGAAGCCTGCTGCAGATAAAAAGGTTGGTAGAATTTGCCAGACTTTCCAGAACAAATCAAGAAATTATACAACTATGTTTCTGAACTTATTTCATGAATTGTGACACGTTGTCTAAAACACACACATTTCTCATTTTCCATAGTGTTTACATTTTCCATTTTGTGTGTGTGTTAATCAAATAGTTTATCTTAAATTTTTCTTTGAAATTGTGAGGTTTCTAAACATTGGATTCTAAGAAGCAAAGAATAGATTCAATGAAGGAAATGTGCTCCTATTTAAGTTGAAATGTTCAAAAAAGTGCATGTCAGTAGTGCTTCTTACCCTAATGAAGACTGCTTCTTCCAGCATTTAGCTTTTTCTGTGATGTCTCTGGCAGTGTGTAGTACAGTGTAGTTCTGGCTTCAGTCAGAAGTCATTTTCTCTAGTTAAGCTGTCTTCCCTAGCTGTTAGAATTTGTTAAAGAAAAATTGCAATTGTTCTTTATTCTCCTTTTTATTGCATTTTTCTGCTTTATGCCTTGTCAGAAAGACTACAG